CCCCAAAACCCCAAAACCCCAAAACCCCAAAACCCCAAAACCCCGGAAGTAATTTAGAGAGTAGAATAACTATTAATTAAATAGTTGGATTTTCGTACTCTGACTGGGACTTTCTTATTGCTCTATACTGGTTTGCCATGTTTTAGTCTGCTCTTCGATGGTAGGGTCTGGAGTTAGAGGGAGGGCTTACTTTCGTCTGAACTTTCTGGAGCAGGAGATGAGTCTTGGGAATCTGAAATATCATCCTTTGTGATTTTCTTGTTTGATCTTCTTAGTACTTGAGCTATTATTAAAATTTGTTCTCTCTCTTACTTGTTTTATTTTGAATGTATATAAGCCCACATATCTGGACACTTCTCTGGGGTTTTCAATTCTTCTGCAAAACTATGAGCTAGCTTTTTAGGTATCTTCTTATTGCCTCTTATGAGGGATTCTACTTCTTTAATGAACAATTCTTGGATCTCATTTTTAATTGGCAATGGTCTTCCTCCTGGCCCTGTTCCTTGAATCCCAAGATGTTTGACTAAATAATTTGTATGAAGTAAATACGTATTGTTTCTGTAGATCTCTTCAGGAATCTCTGATACCTTTGCAATATGACACTACAGCTTAATGCAAAGACTCTACGTTGGGTTATCTTTGTGCTTGCTTCCAGAATAAAGCTTGTTAATAATCTCCTTAAATTTTCTGATTGTTCCCTTTGAGTCTCTCTTCTTTCATCAGGCTTTTCTGAATTTTGACAAAATCTTGCTGATTGAATTCATCCCCTTCCTATTTTATTATAACCGGACTTTATATGCTAGCTAGTTTTGATGTTCTAATTTGATCATTTTAGGTCAAATTGCTATTAGACTCTGAAGGATCAGTAGTGTTAAGCAAATATTTCTAATTATATTTGATTTTAATTAGACTGAACTCAAACTTGATTTCTACATTTGTTGCAGAGTTTTAGGAAGTTTATAAGAGTTGGGCTAGTTAATTTTTACCAAATATTTCACTAAACCATGAATATATACTGAGAGTTCCTTATAAATTTGGTTATGCATAGTGATTCTCACTATCTTGTGGTAACTCAAAAAGAGAATCAGGAGATAAAGCATTAAAATAAGACTGTAACAGCATATTCCAAAGCTATCAAAGCATAATTTTCCCTTTGTCTTTTAGCATTTCAATAAAAAACAACTCTGAAATTCCCCAAATCTATTCTACTTATCCAAATATCCTGAAGCTAATCTTAAAAGCTATCTATGAGGAAATAATATTATTACTCCTTAAAATATTTTGAAGACCAAGCTCAGCCCTCTATTTACAAGATTTAAAATACTTTCGATGCTACACAAATCAGATAAACATAATTTTGGTAGAAGCATGTTTAAATTTAGATTTTATTTTCAAGAGTCTCAGGATCTATTTCATAAAAAATTTCTTTGCTTTCACTACTCCTTAAATAAAACAGTGTCATATTCATAAAATTAAAAACAGGTGTTGTAAACAAATGGATAATAAAATATTTGTTAATGTATTATTTTAGAAATCGCAAATTAAAATTTTTGAATGACTGTTTTAGAGGACTTAACTATACGAATCCAAAAAACTCTTGATTTCAACATAAGTGAAAGTTTATAGCTCAAAAGTTGTCTTACCTCTTCACTGCTATCGGAAGAATAATCTGAATCTTCAAATTTAATGCAATCTTGTCTCTTAAGCTTTAATTCTATTCAAAGTATTAAAATTCAACAGAGAAAAATTTAACCTATACGTTATTTAGCCACTTTGTTTATAAGAAGCTGTATCAAACAGTTTACAATCGAGGAATTAGGAGAGTTTGGGGAATATAGTTAAGATAGCTTTGAAAGTATTTATCTAAGTGGTATTGGCTTTCTTACTTTCTTCCTTAAGCATGGTATACCTAGAGATTAGTAAACAAACTTACTGCTCCTCCATATTTGTTGAGAATAAAGAACCTGACTGAGAACTATCTGAATCTTGATCAAATTCATCTGAATGGCTAATTTTCGACTCTTCTATACCAAAAATAGCATTTTTCCGATAAAAAATAACCTTGTAGGCCTAATCTTCTCAAAATTTGTTTCAAAAGCTCCTCTACAAACAAAATTCTACATACCCCAGACCTACCTTGAGTATGGTCTAAACTGGTCTCTGAGCCTAGGTTATCGGACCTAGCTGTAGTTTCACTTTCTCTTGGTTCCCTCTTGCCTAAATTTAGGTTAATAAAATGACTTTTCATCTCGACCATTTTATTCTGATCTTGCGTACCTTCGTTTTTCTTGACTCTAACTCTCTTGCCTCTTTTACCACTTGTGATTTCATTCCCTTTCTGAGTAGTCTCAGAATACTTGTCGCTGACTAGAGGAGATTAGGTATGGAAGAAGAGGAGTTTTACTGGATTTGGAGGCTCCTTGACTCTCTTCGTTCTTTCAACAGCAGTTTACTGCACCCATATTGTTAATATTTTATTATCGGGGCTCAGTCGGGGAGGTAGATTTGGGGTTTTGGGGTTTTGGGGTTTTGGGGTTTTGGGGTTTTGGGG